GTCATACATATAAACCAGTTGCCAAGAATCTGAATTTTGATCACAGGATCATGGGGATGCTGCAAAGGTTGTAACTATGAAAAACACTCATAAGTCACATTTTTCAGTGCCATTGTAACTTTGTACGGTCACTAAATGAACTGTTGTGATCTGAGGACTACCTGTACATTTTATTCCCATACAATATTTTTCAATCCATCTGCAGTTCATGTCATAAATAGAAATGGAAGGGAGACAGGACTGTCTTGCTTGTTCCCGCTCCCTCAAGACAGAGACAGCTAATGTTAATAATATCTAGTATAGAAAAGAAACAGAAAACAAACTAAATGGACAAGAAAGAAGCCATTACACAAAACAGAAAACAGTAAACTTTTTTTATAGAGAGAGAGCAAATGGAATACAGTTTATAGCTGTTTGAGTCCAATTCAGCAAATAAGACCTAAGTGCAAATTCTCAAGCCCATAACTATTCCACTTTTAACAATACACTTTTGGATCAAAAGTGTCATTAAGTAAATGATTTGTCTATATCTTCCTTTATTTTAGATATTATCTGATTTCTGGATGCATTCCTATGTAACTTGACAAGGATACCTGAAACACTAGTAAGTCAATAATCTCAATTCAGTCATGGTACTATAAGTTTTGCATTGCTCATTCTTGAGATATATTATTTTATGTCACAAGGTTGATACTACTCATTTCTGTTGCCTATATACAACAAAATCATTAAGCATGATCATTAAAATCGTGTAACGTATCCAATTGTAGGTGACAATAAGATTGTGGTGCTTTCTGTGGAAAATTAACATGGCACCTGCTTATAAAGTCATTATAAAGTCATGCCATTATAATTTTTGGTATAGTCAGCTGACGCCATCGCTGGCTATTGGGGGCGAATCATTGGCCCCCACAGAAAGGGCTCGTAACTTGGGCGTCCTCCTGGATTCACGACTGTCTTTAGAAGAGCACTTGACGGCCGTGACCGGGAGGATTTTTCATCAGGTTCGCCTGATTCGCCAGTTGCGTCCCTTTCTAGATCGGGACTCGTTACGCACAGTCACTCATGCCCTCGTCACCTCTCGTCTGGACTATTGTAATGCTCTCTACATGGGGCTCCCCTTGAGGTGCACCCGGAGGTTCCAACTGGCGCAGAGTGCGGCGGCGCGGGTGGTTATGGGAGCAGCATGGAGCTCCCATGTAACACCTCTCCTGCGCGAGCTGCACTGGCTCCCGGTGGTCTTCCGGGTCCGCTTCAAGGTTCTGGTTACCACCTTTAAAGCGCTCCATGGCTTAGGACCTGGTTACTTACGGGACCGCCTACTACCATCAATAGCCTCCCACCGACCAGTACGCTCCCACAGAGAGGGGCTCCTCCAGGTGCCATCGGCCAAACAATGTCGGCTGTCGGCCCCTAGGGGGAGAGCCTTCTCTGTGGGGGCACCGACGATCTGGAATGAGCTCCCCCCAGAGATACGGAGGATTCCAGATCTGCGCACCTTCCGCCGCGAGCTGAAGACTCTTTTATTTCATCAAGCTGGCCTCGCCTAAATCTTCTCCCCTTTAAGTGTAAATTTTAAATTTTTACTGTATTTTAAAATATGGGTATTTTAAATTATGGGTATCAATTCAGCCAAATTTATTTAATTCATTTTATTCGATTTTAAATTTTGTATATGTATGTGTTTTATTTCATGGCTGTTCACCGCCCTGAGTCCTTTGGGAGTAGGGCGGTATAGAAATTCAATAAAATAAATAAATAAATAATACTTTACAAGAGAATTTGGTTCAACTACCTTTTATAATCATAGAAATTTCAGCTAATGTAAAATTTGATTAAAGCAGGAATAACACTGGAGGGCATATTGTACCAGATTCTCTGTTCAAACTTTTTATTGTTGTCCAGACACCACAGGCATTCATGGGGAGCAGGAGAAGCTAATGGCAAAATGTGCATACTTTGTTGTATTTGTATTATGATGTTGCATATAAGTACACAAAGGACAGAGCATGCATTGTGATATTGCAATGCGTATGTCAACCTTGTGACAAAGTTTGCAGTTGCTGCATGTACCAATGCCAGGTACCATTCAAAATGAAAGACCTGGTCATTTCAAAAAGTCTAAGAGGTTTCGGACAAACTATTAAATGTCCATCTATTTCCTGTTTTCTATTGTCATTTCTAAGAATTACTGTCTTTTAATAGTCAGATGAGCATTAAATGTGTGCTCATATTCTCCACGTCCATGAAATCTCATCAATCTAGCACCATGGACACTTCTAGCACAGCGCCTTGTCCTTTTAATATAAAAGACATTGGCAGGCATTCTGTCTCTCTATTCATTTCAGAGGCTTTTATGTACAAGGAAAAAAAACGTAAATTATGAGGAAAAATACAAAGGTTACAAATGGGAGACAATTAATCTGAACTCTATAAAAAGTTGTGAAGAAGGCATTTAATTATACAATAAAAGCTTTCCCCAGAAGCACTTTGTAAGGCATGAGGATCTTCCAAAAGCATGTTTATATGAGCTAATGAAAGCATGGGGTTTCATGGGTATCTTAACTATGATCATATGAAAGTTTATATTTGTTTGTAAAATGTTTTGCTGTCAACTTAGTGCATTTAAGATATAAATTAAATAAACTAAATATATGAAGCAGTGACTGTTGTTCAAGAAACTTACTTACTGTTTAACATATAGCTATTATAGAACATGGCAGTAAGAAAAATACAGTATTTAATGCAAAGCACAATATCTATTTCTTTTTCCTACTAACCTATATTACATATAGCAATTATCCCATATGCAAAGCATAATTAAAACTAGACGAATCCTCATGCTAGTAAGTCCTACCTTTACTATTGTATAACAGCACTGCGTTACTATTTATGTACATATGCAGTGGTGGGATTCAGCCAGTTCGCACCACTTCGGGAGAACCGGTTGTTAATTTTCTGAGCAGTTTGGCAAACTGGTTGTTGGAAGAAATCTTAGGGCAGAGAACCGGTTGTTAAATTACTTGAATCCCACCAATGTACGTATGTATACATACAAATATATATGTATATATGTACGTTTGTCAGTACATATACAAATATACATACACACAGTAATATACAAAATATTATGAAACATGAAATATTCGATCTTTCAAGTTTCCACACTACTCTGCAAACTGTTTTTTAAAGCATGAAAATTTATATATATGTTAATACACCTTTTCCACAACAAATTCATCATATATATCTCTCCCTCAATGTATTTACAGACTTTCCTAATATATGCCCCTTTGCTAATATCTGCATTGCATTGTTCATGCAATTTTGAACAACGCATACTTTGCGTAGTACAGAATCTGCATGTTTGTCCAGAAAGTTCAAATACTATTGGTATGATTGATATTGGCCATTCTTTATTACAGGAATCAAATGGCTACTATATCACAACAAACTCAGGGTAACATTGCCTCCATCTTATGTTCAACCATCATAGCCAAAAACACAGCAATAATTAAAGAAAATGATACAAACATACCAGCATTGAAAGACATATATGGCATTGGAAAATGGTCCACATTATTAATGCATGGAGAAATAGCAATAAAATGCCTTTTCTACATGAATTTCCCAAAATATTATAATAAGCTAAATCTTTCTGAAGTTAAATCTGAGCATTTGCAAACAGAAATAAACCAGCAACTAGAGTTGGCCAAGTATTGCATAATCGCTGTAAATATTGCATTCAGTCTCTGTATAATCTTTACACATTAGGATATTACAGGGTCCTTTTCCTACATAAGCCACCATGATGTTGTAAACCTGTATTTAAAAGTTGCCTAAAGAGAAATGATTCAATATTCAGGAAACATATTTCTTTGGAAAGAAATCCATCCTTTTTCAAGGGATAGATGAAGGGACATGCATATAAGAAATAGAGAACGTTAATACAAAAAATGCAGAGCAGAAATTTCTGTAAACTGTCCATTGGTTCAGTGTGTAGGGGAATGAGAAACACAAAATGAGGTTTAAAATCATCTCACAAAGAGGTGTCCATAAACCACACCTTAGATTCTGGAGGTCTAATAGGAAACTACTACTTTCAGAAAACAATAGGTATCCAGGTCAGTAGCCAGAGCTATCATTTCTTCCTATCCTCTACCCTCCAGGTATATGATTACAAATTCCATAATCTGTAGCAAAGAGAGGGCTCTTGGACAGGTGTCATATTCTGTACTACTCCCGAATGAAGCCAATATGAAGTAGCGAAGACATAGAGGGCCAAAAAGCTCAGATTCAATCATGGCCCTTGGATCAGAAATGGCCCAGAAGAGCAAAATATGCATCTAAGACATTATTCACACCATCTCTCATTTTACCAAATCCACTGGTGTACATAAATATTCATTTGTCAGCAATTGCTGGGATTGCCCAACTTGTGGTTAATATGTCTTTCCAATTCATACAAGTAATAGTAACAACTGTTATGTCTATGTTAGGCTACATTGTACCTATTATATTATTCTAGAACAATGTTTCTCAAACTTAATAATCTTAAAATGTATGGTCTTCAACTCCCGGAATTCCTCAGCCTCAGGAAATTCTGGGAGTTGAACTCTACACAATAAGGTTGCTAAATTTGAGAAACACTGGTCTGGAAACATGAACACTGGGAATGTGAAGCCAACAACTCCACAGAGGCACACAGTTGAATCCCCATTGGTAATTTCCACTTCTGATTGTTAATCTTACTGGTGGTCTGCATAATATTATGCCTCTATGAATGTTGAATGGCTGCCTGGTAGCTTGTGGAGATTTAAAAAAAACAAACAAACCCAGAGGATGGTGATGAATAAGAGGGAACAGAAGCAAGTAGCAACTCCTGAGAATGAGGTGTGAATGACCAAAGTGAGAAAAAGATGGGCTTTCCGTTCAATGCTCCTTATGTTTAGAGCTCCCCCTGTTGAGATTGAGAGTGTAGTCATTACAATGATACTCACCCATCTGCTGTAAGGAAGGAAACTGTTGTCTGCAGTTTCAATTTGTTCTGCTCCATTTACTTTGGCTCTCATCTGATACAAAGGAATACACAATGAAGGTTTGGTCAGCAGTCACAACAGGGAAAATCAAATAGCTAATTTTTACAAGGAAAAGAGGTGGTGGTCTCCATTACTTTCACTAGTAGATCCTAGGAGTTTGTCTAGAATAGATAGTTTTCCTCTCTGTGGTTCATTGGTCTCCAGAGTCCCGGCATCATGAGTGGAGTGAAGCAGAGGGATGGGGGGGTTATTAGTTTGTAAGTACTGTATGGCAAGGACAAGGAGAAACAAGGGCATCTATTGCTCCATACAGCCATGGATTTTCCTGGGGGAGACTGATTAGAAGAAAGATGGAAGAGGTGCAGGAGTCACATTGTGAAGCATACTTTACAAGTGTCTGATGAAGTCCCATATCTTGCTTACCTTGTGAAGTTTTTTATCGTTGCTATTCCAATTGCAAAGGTAGAGTTAAAACTTGAGGCTGGGAAACTCTGCAAGAGCTCTGAGAAAAAAAGTGTTTGTCAGCCCTTAATTTCTTATTTTTTCTCATTGTTGGGTATTTTTTGTTTTTACAGTGTCCACTGCATGCTATGAGTGAAATATCTCCTTTTTATTTAATTACAATATTATTTCTATGGCACTTTTTAGGCCTTAAAACTAGTCTACAAAGTGGCTTACAGTTTAAACAAAAACAAAATATTTGTCCTTGATTTCTAGACATGGCAACAAAGTGATGATGTTTCATGCTACAGTTTTGATATATGCAAGTTACATTTACTGGCTATATTCCAAATTGCACATAATGTAGACACAGCTGAAACAGATTTTCTACTCTTTGTGAAATGCACTCATAAGAAGGGATTATTAATTTCTTTAGAATGGCAATAAGAGAGGGAAAATATCTAATTGCCTTCTTACTCTTTTCTCAGATAAACATCAGGGATGATTTAGGATGTACAACTAATACATTTTGGAAAATTTATTGCTATGGTTGATTAAAAGCAACTGACAATTCCTTACTGCAGCATTAACAATGGAAGGAAAGTATTACACGAGGTAAACACAATCATTAGTACCCTTGGCAATATATGGATGACCCTCAGTTGTACTTTTTAAATTATATGCTATGATTGGCTTTTGTGGTAGCATGAAAAAAAGACAATTATATGAGCTTTTCCATTTAATAAATACAGAGGTTTTGCATTTTCTCTGCAGAAAATGCATTATACCATCCTTTTGACTCTAGTTTGACTCTAAGGTCTGCTTCCCCCTATTTCTAAATGCTTCATTTTCTCTCTTGAACAGTTGAAATGTCTCTGCCTTGATTTTCTTTTTTGTAATTGCCAATCTGACCTTTCACTAATGAAATTTAAATAATGGATTTATTACTGAATAGAACAGAATGATTTAGGGGGCATTTAGGACATGAAGTTCAACCACTGTCTCAGGTCAACTTTAATCCAAATTAAAGCATCCCCAATAATCTAATCTCTGCCTCAATCAATTCAGAAAAAATAGTTCACCGCTTCACTAAATACTTGGTTTCACAATTTTAACAGAATAAAGATAACCCTATCCTATTCTAATGAATCCAGATAATATTCTGTTGGAATAGTTGACAAAACCTCCCATTAGCAGACATATTGTTCACTATTCATTATTTAGCATTGAAATGTATATTATTATTTTGATAGCTTAAACATTTGTATTGACAAAACATTAATATTCATGATAAATATGAATTTAAAAATAAAATGACATGACCTGAACCAAAAAGGAAACTGTCTTGAACAACCTGACAATCTTTGTAAAGATATTGCTACTAAAGAACAGAAGGAGGAGCCATTTTAGTGAGCTATTTAGTGACCTTTTTCTGTTTCATTTGTGGATAGAACCTTCAATAAAAGCAGTTCTCGGTTCTTACATTTTATCTGAATTCAATTCATGTGTCCTAGTAATAATAATAATTAAAAAAAAACCAAAGCAGTCTCACTCCCAATATTTTGGAATAAAGGGGAGAAACCAAAATACAGAACATTATCCATTTCTTGAGCTGATAGTTTCTATTCATTATAATGAACTAGATTCAAAGAACACTGCTATATAATTCTGCTAAATATTAGATCTTCTGCTGCCTGATGAACTTCTTTGGAGATGAGAACTTCAAATTAGGTTGTGATGAATAAAACCTATCACAAAATGAAGCATGGAATGTTTCTGTTCAAGTTTCTAACCAGCAAACAACGATCTTTTCCAGAATACATTGTTCATCCCTCTCATTATCTTACTTTATCATCCCAATAGTCAGCTGAGATTACCACTCACATTACGTCTTCCTTAGAATTTGTGGTATTTGTCCCCATAGTTTTTTCCTGAAGTATTTTTTTTAGTTCTCTTAACTATGGGCTTTTTAAAATGGACTATCTCTTCCTCACTGATGATGCTACTTTGGCTAAATAAGCAACAGGACACTTACTTGGACAAAGGAAACAGAATGGTGGGGAAAGGTGTTAACGGAAAAATGTCAAAGCTCATATTAAGTGTCTATGTGTATGGATGCAGCTAGTGTAATATGGATCCTACCCAAATAGATTTTGTTGTGTTAATAGTATACATTTAATAAATTTGATTGATGATGATGAAATAGTCATTCCTTACTGTATTTATCCTGTCAAACCTGATATATAAAAATATGAAATTCAAAGACACATAAGCAAAGTGACCTCTTCCTCTGACCCTACAGATATTATCATCTAGCAGAAATTACAAAGCTCCATATAATGCCACAGATAGCTGAGGATATGGCCAAGTGATTTCTTGCAGTGAACTGAATTTTATAAAAAAAAAAAAAAGAAAGTAGATATAAATACTGCATGGGACCAACACATACAAAATCCATTTTCTTCCAAAAGCATGCAATTAACTCTACAAAATGGTATTAATAACTAACATTAAATATCATAAAGTATTATGGAAAGGAATATTAAGAATCTTCAGGGGCTAATATAGCAAATCAAACTGCACTTCAGTAGAGATGTACAGCCAATTATATATTCTGAAATCAGATATACCAGAAGCTATTTGTGCTTAAACCAGTAGAACTATCTTTCAACACATTATTTTTCTGTGTTTCTAAAATTAAAGGTGAGAGACTTATATTAAAATAAATCAATTGAAAGTATTATAATAAAATCCTTAAAATTAAATAAAGCTATATGTCATCTATAAAAGGCACACAACAGGCTTTTGTTTTAATTCCATTATTTTTCCTTACTGATCACAAGATGACATCTTCACAAATTATCTTAGGGAGAACAATTCTCCTTGAACTAGCAAACAGCTCACCTGTGTCTGTCTGATATTCCATAGCCGTAGATGTTTACTTGAGAGAAGATGGATATACACTTCCCAGAGGACTTTTAAGTATTTTTGAACCAATACTTTATCACCATTATTTTCCAGATCTGCATCCTTTTGTAATAAAAGTTTTGGTCTTGATCTTCAATGCAGTACATGCTTTGAAAAGAGGTTTTTTTTGCATAATGCTAGGTCATATGCAATAAAGAATTATTATAAATCAATATTATATGATTTATTCTGATAAAAGTAGAGGGCAATGCCATCTTTTAAAACCTTCTATGCAGTTGTACAGGTAACTCAGGTAACTCATTTAGAATTAATTCCAGGTATCAAATTGCAACAGATGTGGAAGATTGGCAGGGGAGAAATTCTTTGCTTTTGGTGTTTAATTATATTATAATGTGAAGTACAGTTATTTTAAAAATCCATATTAACTCTTTTCTTCATGATGTGCAGCCATCTCAAATCTTGCCCATCTAAAAATGATACATACAGAATAATGCTTAACTTCCACAACTAAATCTCTTAGGGATTAATGGTGTACATTTGTGTGCTTGTATGTGTGTGTGTGTATGTGTGTGATTTATCAGAGCAGCAGCTTTTCTGTGGAACCACAGAAGTTAGAACCATCTGGAATGGTTACTATAGAAACAGCAGAAGACTGAGGGAGAGAAAGAACGGATGCTATGACAACCTTTGGGAGTTTCCCAGGAAACCAAAGTTGCTATGGAAACTGTACCACTCAGGTCCAAATTAGTAACTTCCGCTGCAAGGCGTGTTTGTCACTTTAATCTTCTTGTGATAGATGCAACCACTTATCTTACATGCATTGGACATTTATGGAAATACCTCTTTTGCTTTTTGTTTTTTGAAGCTGCAGTCAAAATAAAAGCCTGCTAGAAATTTACTAAAAACTAAATAATTCATCGTATTCGGATCATCAGGATATGATGAGTCAGTCAGTCAATTGTTCAGTCTCACTGTATAGGAAGAAGTAATACTACAATACCCAGGTAGCACTTCAGATTCAAAGTTGCAATTCTTTGGGAATTCAGGGATCAAAGAAATCCAAAATCACAACGGAGGCGTTTCCCTTGTTGTATTAAAGTGATACGGCGTATGTCATGGGCATATTCAGAATACACATGGCTCTAACCTTTTTTTAAAAAAATCAAGATTGCAACCTCGTAATCACATTTTCAATTGTGGCCATCCTATTATAATGTGAGATAGTTTGTGACATTTATATCACCTTATTTCTCATTCACTGGAGCACAGTTACATTCATTATCCTTACATTCCGCTCCTTTCAATCCAACAAGTGTATATGTAAAAGAAAAGCAAATCAACAGTGTAGCTGCTCTTTATAAAATCAGACAAACACGTTTCTCACTAAAATTCCAATGCCCTGCAACAACCTGTGCAAAATAAAAACCTGTTTCCAAAGGGAGCAGCAGCAACACTTTAGCTTATCTACCTTCTTTCTTAATATCTCCTTGGTTCTTTGTTCTTCTAAAAAAATATTCTATCTTCAGAAGGGAGGACCAGAAAAGTATATGTACTAAGCAAGAGCACAAAGACTGACAATGATGCATGTTCCTCACAAATACTGATTACGCAGACTTCCTGTGATTTTCTTTCAATCTCTGCGAAAGAGTGTCTTTTAAACATCCGTAAAGATTTTTTTAATAGTCACGCAGTTCGGATTGTTTGTGCCGGAGCAGTTGTTTGTTTTAAATGCAGCCTGTTTGAATGCACTGTTGCTGATGCCTCCCTCTTCTATCACCATATACTCTGACTTGCTAAGAGTGGAATTACTACGAGCTTTCTTCAGCTCCTCAGTGGAGGAGAGGTGCTGGCAGCTTCCTACGTGCATGTACTGGGCTTGTTCTTCCCCTTCTGTTTCCCGGTGGTAAAAGTAGTTGAAGTTAGAGACAATGACTGGAACAGGCAAGGCAATAGTCAGCACACCAGCGATGGCACAGAGAGATCCTACTATTTTGCCTCCAATAGTGACAGGATGCATGTCCCCATAACCCACAGTGGTCATGGTTACCACAGCCCACCAAAAGGCATCAGGGATACTGCTGAAACTTGAAGTGGGATCATCAGCTTCTGCAAAATAGACGGCACTAGAAAAGAGGATAACACCGATGAAAAGGAAAAAAATGAGCAAGCCCAGTTCCCTCATACTGGCCTTCAGAGTTTGCCCCAAAATCTGCAGCCCTTTGGAGTGCCGAGAGAGCTTGAAGATACGGAAGACTCTAACTAGCCGGATGACTCTGAGAATAGCCAGAGACATTGCTTGTTGACCATTCCCCTGCCTCTCGGCCAGTTCAGTGCCCAAGGTGATGAAGTAAGGTATAATGGCCACAATGTCAATTATGTTCATAATGTTCTTAGAGAAGGTGGGCTTGCTGGGACAAGCAAAGAAGCGGACAAGCAGCTCAAAGGAGAACCAGATAATGCACAGAGTCTCCACCACAAAAAAAGGGTCAGTGAAGGATGACACCATAGATGTAGCTGGGGACGAAGTATTGGTGAAAACATCAGTCCCAAAAGGACTATTCCCAGTACCAAACGTTCCTGAAGTACTATCATAGTCACGGTCATCTCTGAACTCAGGTAAGGTTTCTAGACAAAATATGACAATGGAAATGAGGATGACTAAAACAGACACAATAGCAATGCCCCGAGCTGGTCCGGAACTCTCTGGGTACTCGAAAAGGAGCCACACCTGGCGCTGAAACTCCTTCTCAGGCAGAGGTCTCTGCTCCTCACGGATGAAACCTTCATCTTCCCGAAATTTTTCCATGGCCTCTTCACCTAACTGATAGAAACGTATTTCTTCCGAAAAGATATCAATGGGCACATTAACAGGGCGGCGGATACGGCCTCCAGATTGGTAATAGTAAAGGATGGCATCAAAGCTGGGCCGATTGCGGTCAAAAAAGTACTCGTTGCGAAGAGGGTCGAAGTAGCGCATCCTCTTGCGGGGATCGCCCAGCAGCGTCTCTGGGAACTGGGCCAGTGTCTTGAGCTGGGTCTCAAAGCGCAGACCTGAGATGTTGATCATGACCCTCTCACAACACTCATGCTCCTCTCCACCGGTGCCCACTTGGTGATGACTGTGGGGAGGCAGGGTATGGGCAAGAGGGTGGTCATAGCGCTCCCCGCCCAGCAGGGCATGGGGATGTTGGTTTTCATCGATAAGAGGGTCCTCTCCACCCACTACAGTCATGCCACCCTCCAGCTCCCCGTCCTCCTCGTCTTCTTCTTCCTTTTCTTCCTCCTCCTCGTCGCCGGCGTCGCCCTCCTCTTTTTCCTGCCCTTCCTCAGGGGCGGAAAGCGCGCCTTCGGGGAAGAGCTGCTCGCTGTAGCCCAAGTTATGGTGGCTGCTTCCCACGACGCCGCCGACGCTGCTGCTGCTGCCGCCGCCCCTCGAATGCTTGCAGGAAGACGGGGTGGCCGGCGAGCGCAGAAGGCTCAGGTGCTCGTCCATAAATGTGACAAGAGCGCGGAGGGGAGCCCGTTTCCCCGGCGGCTGACCAAGCGAGACCCCAGGCGGACGGCCAGAGCGACCCGCCCAGCTCCACGGCCACCGCCTGGCTCAAAACATCCTCTCTCAGGCTGGATGCCGCCTCTCCCGCCTTTCCAGTCAGTCCGTCGGCGCCGCCATCGCCCACGCGGTTGCCCTCCTGTCAGGAGCGAGGAGAAGGAGACGAGCGAGGGGAGCGCGCTGTTCTGGAACGAAGGAGGGGTCTCTTTCCCTTCGTGAGAGCCCCGAGCAAGCAGCCTTGCTGGGCTAGCAACAACAGGGAGAACCGGCCCGGCCACCCGCTTGGCTGCTATACAGGTCAAAGCAAAGGAGCAACACGTTACTGAGAGAGCAGGCGCAAGAGGGAAGAATGCAAGAGTCCATCCCGTGGGCGGCGACTGCGATTGTAATCCTTATTTTGCAGTAAACCCCTCTCGGTCTCGGTGCCCAGAAAGGATTGCCTCCAAATATAGGCGCGCAGGATCGCGTAGGGGGAAAGCGTCCCCTTCCCGCGCATCGGCTTGGGTGTTTCTCAAAAGCCCGCGCCCTTTCCTTCCATCTAGGGGACGTGGGAAACAACGGGCGGGTTGAGGAACAGCGGTTCACACCTTCTCGGAGTTGTCTTCTACAAGAAGCTTAGCCCAAGCCTGCTTGTTGCCCAACAGCTGTAACACAATAGGATCTGGCTGGAGACAAGGACGATGAGGCGTTTGTCCTTGGGGCAGCTTCTTTGCAAGGTTTGTCAGAGCTGGATGGGCAGGCAACGACCCTTGCAAGGTCACACAGTCTCCAGGAGGGGAGGGGAGGGGGGGACCCGTCTTGCACTGCAGGCTCTCTCCCAGCACATTGCTCTTTCGTCCCCACCTGTTACAAAAAATACGCTTCCTCCAATCAGCATCGTGGTTTGTGGGGCTACTGACTCTGATCCATCATCTCTAAATGATACACGGATTGGTTCAAAAGATTCAGAGTTGGCTGACTGTCTGGCTATGTTTGCACAGCGGATTGAATCAGAATAGAACAGCCAAAGATATTCTAGCCTGTTATTGTAAGAACCAAGGCTGTGTGGGTAATTTATGGTCCAAACACAGTGCCTGTGTTACCCTATTGTAGATAGGCTAAAAATACATTGTTGTGATGGGAAGGCAGCCTATTCAGAATCCTATTTTACTCTTGATTAATAAGTGCATCTCTTGTCTTAAAGGTAAAGACTGCCCCAATTTAGGGTCTATTTTTTCTAACCATGTAGCTGTCTTAAAATCCATTGCCTTGTTCCAGATTACTTTTCTTAATCATCAAAGAAAGTATTAATCAGATCTAACCCTTATCCTTTTAGCTATCAGCCAACGTGAGCTAGAAACTATCATTTAGTGTGAGGTTTTTGCCTAAAGCTTTTGTAATAAATGTTTTCCTCACATCTTCTCCACGTTTGGGGTAAAAATAAGCACCCACTGGCCTCTCCTGTTTTTTTAGATTAATCTATAATTGGTGAGAACTTGCTGATAAAAGAAAATTTATACACCTGGCAGAACTATTAATTTGAGAGCATGGAGAAAAATTATGATATCCATGACTACCAGATATGTTTTAGCTTAATAAGGAAAGGTAGATAAGAAGAAACAAGATAAATTATATAAAGTGTGGAGAAGTGGATCAGGAAAGGTTCTCTCTTATAACACTGAAATATGAAGAATGGGAAAAGCAAATTCAAAACAATGTTAATTCAATTTTAATTTTACTTAAACAGAAAAAATCCCTATTGCAAGATAATAATGATTGCTGCTACCAGGGCTATTTTTAAGAGGGGATCAGACACATTCATGGCAAATAAGATTAGAAGTTACTATTGGTCAGAATGAATCTAAATTACCTCCAATATGAGAATTGAAGGTCTCTTGATATACTGTGAGTAGGTAGGAAATATTGAAATTATGTTCAACTGGTGGATGCCCTTTAGACCCCCATGGCAACAGAATGCTGGAGGGAAGATGCTGAAGACTTTATCCAGCAGATATACTGTTATCAAAATTGAAATAAATAAAATGGATTGGATCATCACAGGCTATTCTGTTTCTTAGGATTTTAAAGAACTCTAAAAGGCTACTGGGGCAGGTCTTACCTTGGCAAATTCATGTTGATTCTTCAATAAGATTTGTTTTTCTGTATGTTTGATCATTCAGTCTTTAATAAAACTTTTCAGTCATAGCAATTCAGAACGAGCCGTATGCGTGCCAATCTGTAATTTTCTGGAACCATTCTAATTACCTTTTAAAAACTGATATCACACTCAGAATCATCTAAACTTTAGTACAGAGGTAAAACAAACAAAAAAAAGAATTGCATTGATTCAGGTCAAATTGTATTGATTCAAGATGATACTATTTCTTCAGTGAGAACTCTCCCACAATCAGTTTCTTCCTTTGGCTTAGTTTGAGAAGATATGACCCTCTTCTCCATCAGAAGACTGGAAGTGTGATCATCTTCGCTGCACACAAACTAATCAAGGACTATCAGCATTGGGTATCTCTATCATAGGTTATATTATATTTTTCTAATAGTATTGTAGAATAAGTACTTGCCATGACTGCCATGAACAATACATCTGAATTATACCAGCTTCTTTTTGTAGCCTAGGTCAATGATGGCTAACCTTTTTGCCGCCACGTGCCAAAAGTGGGGGGGAGCGCAGGAAGGTCACGTCCGTGTGTGCCCATACCCATAATTCAATGCGCCCTGCCCCCCCGTACATGCACGCATGACCCCCTCCCCCTGCTTTTGGCACATGATAGCACAGTGGGCCCGGTAGGTCTGCTTTTTGCCCTCCCCAGGCTCCAGAGGCTTTCTAGGAGCCTGGAGAGAGTGAAAACAGCCTTCTCCACCCCACCCCACCCCGGAGGCCCTCCAGAGGCTGGAAATGGCCTGTTTCTTGACTTCCAGTGGGCCTGAAAGGCCCAAAAATCAGCTGGCCGGTGCATACATGCGTGCTGGAGCTGAGCTAGGGCAACATTCACAAATATGGCTCCACGTGCCACCTGTGACACGCGTGCCATAGGTTTGCCATCACGAGCCTAGGTTCTTAACTCTGATTACAAGAACAAGTTAATATATAAAAAGGTCATTGTTTTCAGTGAATTACATTCTGGAAATAAGAAATAATGGACAGGAACAGTCTCGTATCACTTAAATTCCCATTTAACCTGCAGACTTGTAAATAAAGATAGAGTCATGTAATTTGGATAAAGGTAGTCCTCAATTTACAGCCATTTGTTTAGCGACTGTGGTACTGAAAAAAAGTGACTTATGACCAGCCTCTGCATTTACCATTGTGACAGCATCCCTGGGTTCACTTGATCAAAATTTGGGCACTTGGCAGCCAACACATATTTACAATGTTTGCAGTATCCTGTGAAGGCCCATTGGCGATCTTCTCATCTGGCTTCCATCAAGCATAGTCAATGGGAAAATCAGATTCACTTAATGACAAGACAGGAACAAAGATTATTAGAACTATGGAGAATAAATGCCATAAGAAAAAATTGAAGAAACTAGACAACATCAAAAGATTGAGAGAGAACATGATAGCACTGTCCAGGGACTTGAATAGCTGTAATTAGAAAGGGGCAGCAGAAGTTCTAGTAGTCTTACCTTATAAGTTTTTATAAGGTAAAACCCTTTTTAGTTTACCTTTTTAGTTTTTTAGCTTTTTAGCTTTTAATCTGTCAATGGGTTTTAATTCGAATTGTTTTAAATTTGGGCCAAAGTATGTAATTCTTTTAATAATTTTAAATTTTGTATTGGTGTGTGTTTTAGTTCTGGCTGTGCACCGCTCTGAGTCCACTAGGAGAAGGGCGGTATACAAATTGAATAAAATAAATAAATAATCAGGTAGATTTCTCCTGAACATTATGGCGGGGGGGGGGAATCTTAACAGTTACAATCAAGTATCTAGCAAAGTAGTGAGACTTCTGTTATTTGGAGATTTTCAAGCAGACCTTGGCCATCCATTAGGACAGCTAAACTTTGCACTGAGCAGAGAGTTGATGGAAAACACACAAGGAAGGATCAAAATGAGTTTAAAATTCAGAAGAAAAGAAATAAGAGGCTGGAAAAGCCTCCCTCAATTTACTGGGGGGAGAAGCAGGTAATTGGCATTAGAAGCCACATATGTGGACATTTCTAGATAGACATTCCATTAACATGGGGTGATAGATTGCACACAGCAGACAACTTCCCAGCCAAGGGAAAGAGAACTGAAAATAAAAGCATCATTTATCATTATGTCCATTAAACAACCATGCACACGTACAAGTTGTTCTGCTTTCAATGCAAAGATCTAGCTGCATTTATAATACTTCAATATAGAGTAAATCTCTTAATCTGTCCATTAATAATAGTCAACAAAAATTATTTGTTTATTTTCAATGGCATCTTCAATAGGGCAGAAATCAATGGAAACTCCTTCAGGTGTAGATTCCCCCCCACCCTCTCTCCCTCTCTCCCCCTCTCCCTCCCTCCCTCCCTCCCTCTGTGTGTTTGTGTGTGTGTGTGTGTACACACACATACATAGAATGGACTTCTGAATATATATGGATAGGATTAAACTGATATTAATTAGATACAAAATACACTCTGCATGAGCATTATTATTATGTCAGAGAGATTGCACAATAAATTCATTTAACTGGTTAAAAGACTGGAAGCATTTAGTTTAAAGTTTAATTGGTATTTTAAATGCAAAACAACTACTTTTCATAATGCTTTGAAAGATCATCCTAAGAATATAACAGTAAATGTAATACTTTACCACTGAACAATGAGATTTGGCATCTAAACAGGATCAGCCCTTACTCCTCTCAAATTACATTGGGTTATTCAAGCTAAATGACTCCACTGACATTGATGAAGCATCTAGCTAAATCCTAACCATCCTGTAGATATGTAGAAAGTTGCAACTCACAGTACAAGAAGATCTATTTTAATACTTTAAAAGTATGATTAAAGCATGGGATTATGCTTGCCAAACAATGTTAATTCATATTCCGCCATAATAGAGATCATGTTGTAGGAACTATTACAATAGCAACAAAAGATACACAGTTACCCATCTGCAAAGCTCCTGTTACATACCATTATTTTATCATAAGATAAAATATCATGTTTGCAAAGCAATTTAATCACTAATCCACAGCTTTGCCATAGTTTATGCATTCAATCTAATGTAAAAGCATTTCATATAATGATTATGTTGACCTTGAAACAATGTTCAGACAAATATTTTTAAAGTTTATTGGAATGATTCTCAAGTGTGACCACAACAGTATAAAATTGACAAAATATTGTTCAGTATGTTTAGGCTGTTATTACAATGTTCAGATTGAAAGTTGATGTTACTCTGGCAAAGGATCAGATAAATGACAAATTCACCAATTGGATATATGAAATCATTCATTTGCAATGTCTTTTCTTTTGATGATTTGAAACCCACTCAGTTCTGGAAGGACTATAACCATAGTGTAAATAACTGATAAGTAAGTTATTTACTAATTGTTTTAAAATATTTATTATTTTACTTTTACTTAGAAGTCTAAACCATATTGATACATCTTGTAACACTTTGGAAAATGTTTGTTCCTGTGCATAGACAAAGAAAGGATATTGTCGTATGAATGCAAGGTATTTGAGAATAACCTATTAATAAAAGAGAGAATAACACCTTATTATTTTCATATTCCCTGTCTATAACTATTTTGTCTTTATTCTAGTTTGTGAGATGAACACCTCTCTTGTGTACAACCTGATACAATCTGTAGTTGGACAATTGTGCACAACAGCAAATGATTTATTGTGTCTTCAATATCCTTCATGTCATCACCAAGGGCATTCAGATGACATACAAAAATAGAGCATGACTCTGAAATGTAATTATCCTCTCTTCAAAGAGAAGCAAAAGAAAACGGTGCCTTGTTTTTAGAAAGATTTTCTCACATTTAAAAAAAATGGTAATAAGCTTTTATTTATTTTGCTAATGAGATTTGCATTATGCAGCATGCTTAGAAAAT